CATTCCATCAGGAACGTTACCCCCATTCGTTTTGAGACCCAGCAGAATGCGTCTGATAGTGCGTTGAAGGAAGGCGATTTCGGGAATTCGACTTTCAACGGAAGGAATATCTGGAGGCACTCTTCCCCTGAGAAAATGAGGTGGTTTTTGCTTCGAAAATTCATGCATTATCACAATCATAGTCCCAATCAAAGGCTTTGAGAAATTCACAGAACACTGTGGCCGCAACCGGCAACCTCACAACTACTGATAAACCTCATACATATACACAATTACTAGTACCCACTTAAAAAATCGTGACGAATAATTTCAAAAGGAGCTGGAATATGCCTGTTTCTCATAATGAGTTCGAGTAAACAATCCTGACTCAGTCTAATTATGGTAGCAGTAGACTTTGTAATTAATGCATTCTTCAATTACACAAAGCCTGGCAACTTCATTACGGATCAGACAAAGATGTATAAATGGTAAAATACATAATAACTTGGAATAAGTATCCAACGGAGTAGACAAAATTTAATCAAAATTAATCATAGTCAACACAAAAGAGAGGAATGGTGAAGTAAATTTAGAAGGTAGTAAATCTCATTTCGAATAAAAAGTGGCTATTTCATTAAGTGAGATTGTATACAGGGTGTTTCACGTTGAACAAAAGTGTGCCAAGAGTTTGACTGAATTGAAAGTACACATTTCGGTTAGGAATGAAGAATGTATGTATCTGAAAATAATAATTGTTATTCACCCTACCAGTCCATATATCTCAGAGACTTGGGAGTAACAGGTGAAATAGATTTGAGGCCTATGCGCAGTCCCTGCTGACTACAATCTTCTTTCATTGTTCAATGTATGAAAAATCCATTGTAGTTAGACCTGGAGATCGCGGTGGCAATCGCAACGAGAATGTATTATATCAGTCATCTTAGGACGATCGAAAATATTAATCAAAATATGTCCATCTCAAAACACACACTTCCAGCACCATTTGAAATGGTGCCAATTCATTGGTGTGACTAGTTGAGGGTTGGCCTCCCTTTATTTTGCCTTATTTCTAATCGAGAAAAAAAACGATGTGCGGAAGTTGATTGCCGCAATGGGGCTTTTCCATCAGAAATTTCACAGGGTGATCCCTAAAAGCGTGACAAACCACAAATCGATTTTTTTAAAGGAACGCCCTGTTTTTTATATTTTATTCGAAATCTTCGATTTTTTTGCAATCCCTAGAGTGATATTTTCAATTTTCACTTCATTATCTTCACTTTTTTACTCCCTGAGAAACTTTTTTTTCTGATTAATGGGGAATCACTCAAGGTTGGTAATATATTCGATAATGATGCTCTATACAAGTGTCAGAAAAATTGTTCTCCCATGGTCATAAAATTGAAGATGATGTAATGAGAATAGAAGATATTATACTATGTATTCATACAGCGTGGACGGGTTATGTGATACAAAAAATTCAACATTGTGTTGTACTCGTTGAAATAATAAAAAAAGTTCATATAAACTTGATTATACTTTCAAACGCGTCGTTTAAGAGATATAGGGTGTTTAGAATACGATTCTGCATATTCTTTTTTTGATGACGTGTTGATTTTCAGTGATTCAAGTAATTTTCAGAACAACTATTATCATTTCACCACTTACCTAAAAGCCAATCTGAAACACAAATCTGAAATATATATATAGCAAATATTTATTATGTAATTGTTGGTAAACTTGTTAATGGATCATCAATTCATTTCCTCCCAAATCAATCCATCCTACCAGTTCTGATACCTATGCCCAAAAGAGCTTCAAGGCTTAAAATCATCGTGAGTGTAAAAAGTTATACTTGATAAGGAGCGCGGCAAAAAACGCGCGATGATAAATGCATTGTGGGTTGCCTGACCTCCAGTAGCTATTTTGAAAGAAATAAAATTCTTTATACAGGGTGTTTCAGTTTTTTGTAGCAGAACTTTAACAGCTTGAAGAAGACATTTTTTTAAGATAAAAATCTCATACAAACATATATGCGTGGGAGCTTCGTTTCCGATTTACAGGGTGTCAAAGTTTCAGATTTTCTCCTACAATTTTCGGAATAGTTGATTGAAATTTGGTACACCTAATAGACTTCAAAAACTCAATATTCGAGGCTATTGAGCGTTTTTGAATACCCACAGGGTGATAGACTTTCATTGAATGTTTAAGAAATGTCAAATAAGTGTTTGAGAAATAACGGTTTTATTACAAGTAATTTATTTTTGGCATTTATCTCGAGATCCATACAGTTTTTGAAAAATTTACATAGGGGCAAAAAGTTTCCAAATTGCAGGGACAATCTGAATCTATGTCCCATTGAAAGCAGAGGCGGCACGCAAAAAAGTTCTACAGGGTTAAATTGCGTACGACCCCTGAAAGTCTATCACCCTGTAGGTATTCAAAAACGCTCAATAGCCTCAAATATCGAGTTTTTGAAGTGTATTAGGTGTTTCAAATTTCAATCAATTATTCTGAAAATTGTAGGAGAAAATTCGAATACATAAAAAAAATCTGAAACTTTGACACTCTGTAAATCGGAAACGAAGCTCCCACGCATATATGTTTGTTTGAGATTTTCATCTTGAAAAAATGTCTTCTTCAAGCTGTTGAAGTCCTGCTACAAAAAACTGAAACACCCTGTATAATATGTAGCAATCAGGCAGCAGAACATAATTATGCAACCAGTAACACGAGCTGAAGAAAGGGCATGAGACATGATTGACACATGACTTTAGGAATCTTCATAATACATATATACGAAGGTACAGCTATGGGAAATTGTTTATCGCCTTTCCTGGCTGAACTGTTCATGAATCGATTTGAAGCAAATGCAAAAGAAAAATTCGAGCATTTCCCTAGAGTTTGGATTAGATATGTCGATGATATTTTTGCTATTTTTGATACGAAAACCACAGATATAGATAACTTTATTTCAAGATTGAATAACTGCTTCCCCTCTATCAAATTCACTTATGAATGCGAAAATCAAGGCAAATTACCTTTCTTAGATGTACTTGTGATCAAATATAGCGAAAACAACTTAGAATTTGATGTTTTTAGAAAAGAAACTAACACATTTATATACATACCTAATGACTCCAATCACTGTTTTCAGCACAAAATGGCAAGTTTAAATTTTCTAGTACACAGATTGATTTCATTTCCTCTCAGCAAAGAAAGATTCGATGCTGAAGGAATTGTTGTTTATAAAGTGGCTGACGCCAATGGCTATGATATCAAAATAGTTGATAAATTAATGCGTAGACATAAATTTAAGTTAACACTTCGATATTCTACGACTTTTCAAGCGGATAAAAAGAACTCTAGAAGAATCCCAATCCCGTACAATCCCAAGTATACGAAGGGACTTGATAAGGTTTTCAAAGACTTAGGTTTTGAAAGCGTTTATCAGTCTGGGTCAAAATTAGGCAATTTATTAGGCAATCCGAAAGATGAAGTGGACACACTTGAAAAGTCGGGAATATACGAAATAAGTTGTAATGATTGTGATAAAACATATATAGGCCAAACCAGGCGACCCATAAAAACAAGGTTCAAAGAACACATAGCCCATTTGAAATATGGCAGGTTAGATAAATCTTGTGTAGCCGAACATAATGTTCAATCACAATCACAACACACATATTACTAACCTCAAATTAGTTAAGCAAGTTAATAACATTAGAAAACTGGACGCATATGAAAGCTTAGAGATATTTAAGAATAGTAATAGAGTAATGAATGAGGATAATGGACCTATTCCATATAGCCCTCTATATAGTGTAGTAAAATAAAAAAATTTAGATTAACATGTGAACTCAACCATGACAAACATTAACTTGACGGTTAGTATTTTTCACAGTTGGGTGAACATATACCTAGTATATAAGCAGCACACTAGAATAGGATATTTAGTTCTAATCTTCTCCTGAAGATGCTAACATAGTTAGCGAAACACGTGTCGAGGCGTTAAAAAATCGGTTTGGTTAGTGGTAAAACAGTGTAGTGTATTATCGTGCCAAAGGTTCCAGTCTTCGATATATATACGAAGTAGAAAAAAGTGAAAAAACTTGGTCACTCATAATTATTATTATTAGACACGATATCCATCTTCAATATTTTAGATGAAATTTTACAAATGCATATACCAAGATGATACAAAGTTCACCAATGAGGCAAGACTTCATGATTGAAGTGAAGTAGGTAAATATATATTTTTTGAGAACATACCGGGTCTCTTGGTTTTGATGTTTGATTGTTGCATTTCTGATTTGAACCTTTTGTCCTGTCAGTTTCAGATCCACATCAGTCCTGCATTTTGAATGGGCTAGAGATTGATGGCCCATATCATACTGCAATGGGACCCAAACTTGATGATTTTCATCTTTCAGGCACTAGGTTCTTCTACAAGGTAAATAAATTGTGTGTGTATTAAGAACATGATGCTTCCAAACCATGTAGGACCATCAAATATAATGAGTATTGGTTTCTTCTATGAATTCATCAGTTCTAGAGTAGTGAGGTACATATAAATAATATTAAAATCGTTTTCCTCAGGTACCTGTCATGAGAATAGTTTCTGCTACATATTCTATGGATTATCATGATTAATTCTGTTGGTGATCCCTTCTCTTGATGATTGCTATCCACATTTCGCTCATTTCTCTTGATAGATCCTTCATCTGTGGGTAGTGCACAGTTTTTCACAGTATCAAAGTAGGAATGTGAAGAAACATCTAATGGTCCCGATCTGCACGGCTTCCCCAATCCACCACAATAAACGTAAAATCTCACTCAGTTTTCATTATTTCCAATGAATCTATAACCAAACCTTGATGAAAAGGTTATCCTGAAAGGCTCCCAAAATTCACAAGTCCTCAAGTAAACAAACGTGTTTATGGTTTGTTTGCCAACCAGACGCCATTTTGAAATTATTTGAAAGGTCGTTGGATTGACTAGCGAATTTTTGAAATGTTTGACAACGACCCAAATGTCAAGAAATGAAAGTTGAGAAAAGTCATAAATAATTAAAAATGTCAGATACCGACGTAGAAGATGAAGAAAAGGTGAACGCCGGTGAAGGTGGAGAATCAAAAGAAATCTATCCCTATGGGGAATATGAAGGTGGCAGAGACGAACAATTAGAGAGACACGGATTCGGAAGCGCACTGCTTCCCAATGGAGATGTTTACGAAGGGGAATATTACCACGGGAAGAGGCATGGAAGAGGAATGTACTGTTTCAAGAATGGGTCAAGGTATGATTCTCTTAGCTAAAGAATCTTGGATTCGATCGATATCAAAGTTGTAGTGATCAGTGGTCTGTTAGCAGATAAGTTACGGACTAATGGGTTGCGTGCAAGAACTGCCAGATGGCCGACGCTGGAGGCAAAACATTGAAACACAATCTCACTTTTCTTATTTGTTTAAAAGTGATCGAAATAGTTTTTCACAATTATTTTGGCATATGAATCGTATTTTTCCGCTATTCATCAATTCGCTCATGCCATCACTTTGTGCTGTTGTAAAATGCACAAAAACTGCAGCGGAAGATGAAGGAATCCGGATGGTTTATTATGATTTTCAAAAGTAAGTAGGTATCTTCTATAGTCACTCACATATAGTTTTCATTTTTGAAATTTGGTTATTTCTCTGATTTCTCATCGGAATTCATTCTGCAATAGGAGCTAATAGAAATAGAAGATAGGATTTTTGCAATCAATCGGGAGGACTGGTCTGACATGCTGGCGATCGTGTGTGTTGTAGACATTTTCAATCTATTAGCAGTATTAGCTTGTATTACAGAAGTGGCAAAAGGCAGAAGGAATTTTAATAAGGAGTGACAACATTTCATTATGATAACTTTGTGAGATTACTATTTACCTGAAAAATCATATTCCCTAGTCACTTGCTGCATTTTTTGTGCATTGTACAACAGCACAATGCGAAGGCATCCTTGAATCAATGAATAACGCAAGAAACACGATTCGTATGCCAAAATATTGTGAAAAACTATTTCAACCTTTCGATTCCCCTGTAAACAAATAAAAAAGTGAGGTTGTGGTTCAATAATTCACAGAAGAGTGAGTTTGTGTTTCAATAATTCACAGAAGAGTGAGGTTGTGTTTCAATATTTTGCCTCCAGGGTCGGTCATCGTGCACGCGACCTATTGAAACACAGCCTCATTTTTCTAATTCGTTCACAAGTGATTGAAATAGTTTTTCACTATTATTTTGGCATACGAATACGTGTTTTTCGGATGATTATCAATTCGCGCATGCCATCACAGTGTGCTCTTGTACAATGCTCGAAAAATGCAGCGGGAGACGAAGGAATCCGGTTGGTATATATTGATTCAAAAGTAAGTTCCTACTATAAGCCACTCACATATAGTTTTCATTTTTGAATTCTGGTAATTTCTCTTATTTTCCATCGGAATTCCTTCTGCAATAGGAGCTAATAGAAATACTCGTGAAATTTCTAAAATAATCCAAGAAGATTGGATTCATGCAATCAAATGGGAGGACTGGTCTGACATGCTGACGGAATCTGATCGTGTGTGTTGTAGACATTCTCAAACTATCAGCCAGTATTAGCTTTCATTGCAGAAGTGACAGAAGGAATGTCAATAAGAAATGACAAAATTCCATAATAAAAACTATGTGACATAACTATTTACCTGTAGAATCATATCCTTTCGTCTCTCGCTGCATGTTTTGTGCATTGTAAAACTGTGTTTCAATGTCTTAAAGAAAAGTGAGGTTGTGTTTGCTCCAGGTTTGGTCAACGTGCACGCCACCTATCAGATGGTTCAGTTGTTTATTTCAATACGCCACTTCATTAAAAGTTCCTAATGGTCCAATTGTCAGGGATAATAACATGAGTACTCTCAATATACTATCGATAGTTTTTCTTCCAGAAATCAACGAAATTTAATTGCTAGGTATCCCCGTCCGTAGGACGAAGCGAAAATTGATTGAGTTTGAGATTTCTGACAGAATTTTCTGTAGTATTGTGATCACGAACTTTATTTATTGAGACAATTCCACGAGCTATATGAAACTGTTATCTCATCTCCATGGCATAGCAGGTGACAAGAGTTTCGTTTTATTGACATTGCTTGTGTCACCAATAGAATAGAATCGCAGTTTGATTGACTATTCTGTGGAATTTCTTATCAACCTGGTGCCACTGGCCATTCGGTCTCAGAACATCGAATACGTTGTGAAAAGGAATGTTTGAAATGTTTGACAAATGAACGTATTTGACATATACATCATGTTATCAAAAACATCGAGGAAACAGAGTATAGATACGGACCAATCAATCGATCAAAATATACTTTTTCTATAAACGTCAAAAAATGACAAGGTTCGCGCATTGATAACAAATTGCGAAGTGACACTTTTTTTCAGTTTCCTACGTTACCATGATACCTTGCACATAACAATGCGCGAAGTATAAAACAATGCGCGAAGTACCTACTTCGCGCATTGTTAAGTAAAATATATGAGATATTTTTATTCCAACTTAATGGTCCTCAATCGAGCAAACATCCACGAAATCATTCATTTCTGAATGTTCAACCATAACTTTGTTTTATCTCTTGGAGTGCACGAAAGGAAATTCCTAATATGTTCGTGGAACATCGTGCGTACCTAGGGAGGATAGGGGGAGGCTTTTTAAGCCAGTTCAACACTATTTTTTATATCATGCTAAGCATATTTTTAATTTAGAACTATATTTTTTGACGTTTGTAGAAAAAATGTTGTTTGCAACTCGAGCGCGAAATACTTTGGTCATCTCGACTATTTTTTTAACTCGGCTACGCCTCGTTAAAAAAATCAGATCTCGATCACCAAAGTAGCATTTCGCGCTCTAGATACAAAAATAACTATTTTCTACAGACGTCAAAAAATGACAAGGTTCGCGCATTGATAACAAATTGCGAAGTGACACTTTTTTTCAGTTTCCTACGTTACCATGATACCTTGCACAAAACAATGCGCGAAGTAAAACAGTGCGCGAAGTACCTACTTCGCGCATTGTTATCTAAAATATATGAGATATTTATATTTCAACTGTATGGTTCTCAATCGAGCAAACATACACGAAATCATTCATTTCTGAATGTTCAACAATAACTTTGTTTAATCTCTTGGAGCGCACGAAAGGAAATTCCTATTATGTTCGTGGAACATCGTGCGTACCTAGGGAGGCTAGGGGGAGGCCTTTGAAGCCAGTTCAACACTATTTTTTATATCAAGTTGAGCATATTTTTACTTTAGAATTATATTTTTTGACGTTTGTAGAAAAAATGTTGTTTACAACTCGAGCGCGAAATACTTTGGTCAACTCGACTATTTTTTAACTCGGCTACGCCTCGTTAAAAAAATCAGATCTCGATCACCAAAGTAGCATTTCGCGCTCTAGATACAAAAATAACTATTATGGTCTGATGAAAAAAAATTGTCATTGACAAAGTCATGAATAAAATATACCTAATATAACATGGTCTATAGCAAGAAAAGGATGCTACAATCATATGCATATCAATAAAAAATTTATAAATGAATTAAAAAATACATAATCAATATGGATCAAAAGTGTATGTTCTACATTGATAACATAAACCTGAATGAATACGAATATTCCGTCAGGAGCTATCATGTCATAAAAAAATCAACTTGACTTATTGTAATCTTTAGCTAGATATTCTTGAACACAATAATATGTTTCTTTGATGAAATGTTGTCTAACAGATCGAAATCGACTGGAATATTGTTACATAATTTGACAGCATTATAAATCAATGACTTTTCAGTTAAGCTCGTCGATGAAATGGAGAGTTAAATTGTTGTTTCAGCAAGTAGAACTTACAACCGCAACATAGTAAATGAAGATTTATTGTTGTGAACTAAACATACTGTTTCGAGAATGAAGAGGCACGGGAAAGTCAAGATTTTGTGCACTGAGAACAGAGGTTTGCATCATACTCTAGGTGCCACTTTGTAGAGGTATCGAATAGCCCGCTTCTGGAGAATGAAGGTCGATTTGAAATTCTGTTCACTTCAAATACCCGATATTCCATATCTTATGTGTGACTCAACCAGACACTATCCGCAACGCATAGCACCCAGACGCTAATTCAGTCAGAATTTCACGTGATTTTTGAAGTTGAGTTTGGTCATCCTGATGGATACCAAGAAATTCAACTTCGTTCTTCTGTTCAATGCAAACTTCATTTCCTAACTGAATGTCTGGTATATCACATTTGATCGATAGGAGGCTAGTTTTACCAATATTGAAGGACAGCAAATTTGAGTCACACCACCTTTTCACAGCGGAAATATCGTTGACAATTTTCGTTTGAATATTCTTCACTTCAGTATCATTCTACAGAATAGTTGTGTCATCTTCAAAAATAGTGAATTTTCCATCGATCCTGAGATAAGCCAAATTATTAAAATACAAGAAGAACAAGAAAGGCTCCAAAACAGAGCACTGTGGCACACTATGTCAAACTGAACCAGTCTCAGAGGTCGTGTCTGATCTCACGATTTGTGTTCGCTCACTAATGTGAAGAACTTGCTCTATATAGTCATAAAAAACAACCTATCAGCTGATTGCTCAGGGTTGCCATTGTGTGAGGAAGAGGATCTCACATTGCTGTGAGTGATTTGTTAGTATTAACTTGAAACTTTGCAAAGGATGCTTCACTTCCCACTGCTCTCCTATTTTTCTTGAATTTCTGACTCCTTGATGTACCATAATTACAGTAGATTGCGTATCTATTTTTAGTTGATCAACTAAATCTATCGCTTATTTCAGTCAGGAGTTTCCTGCTGAGGTTGAGGTTGATATTACGTGTTGGTATCACAATCTGCCAAGATGTTGTTGATGTCAGATATTCATCTCTCCATGTCTTCTCATCGAGTAAAGCAGAATGAGGGGTAGTGTAGAACATACCTACAAGAATAGTATTATTTCCACCTCCACCGCTCAAATCTTGGTTCCTAATGAAACATAAGAAAAACGTATCGTTGTCCTTGAAAGACAGCACAAAATTATATCCTTTCTCAGGTACACTGGCACCTGGAGCAAAGGCCTCAAACACGGTGAGGGCGAGTTTCTTTACCCTGACGGCAGCCGCTACCAGGGCGAGTGGAAGAAAGACCTCAAGCACGACCAAGGTAGCTACTTTCACGTCAACAGTGACCTATACAACGGCTGCTGCTAGTATTAATATAGTTCTTCAGTCACATTTCTAGATGGTTCTTCCAAGAATTTCATCTCATTCAGCACTCTAGCAATTCTTCCACAGTATAGTCCCAGTATAGACCCAGTATATAATTCGGTGGTACCACCAGGGATAGTTATTGGCCAATTCATTCGGAAAATCAGCCATTCAGCAGATTTGTTAGCCATCTCGTTTTTCAGCGATATTTGCTTGATCTGAGACTAATATGATGATACCACTGATCTTTCCATTACCTTTTGAGGGCTGGAGTCAACATACCTAGAATCACATAACATCCTGGGAGCTCTGAGGAATTGTTCCAGAGAACTTGCTCTATATAATAATAAAAAACAGCCTATCAGCTGATTGCTCAGGGTTGCCATTGTGTGAGGAAGAGGATCTCACATTGCTGTAAGTGATTTGTTAGTATTAACTTGAAACTTTCCAAAGAATGCTTCACTTCCCCCTGCTCTCCTATTTTCCTTGAATTTCTGACTCCTTGAGGTACCAATTATACCAGATTGTGTTTCTATCTTTTGTTGATTAAATGAAAATTGTCACGAGTAGAACATACGGTATATTAATCTTTGGTAGAAGTCCATATTGCTCACAGGAAGGAAGGAATGCTTGAAGTCATCTCCACAAATTTTAACGATATTTTTAACTGAATCATGAGGGACATGTTTCGGGCTTATAAAAGACCATCTTCAGCCTAATTGGAAGCCCTTTCAATTAGGTTGTGCAGGTCTCCAAAGTGACCACGAAGGGGTGCGAAGCCTCAACTCGACGGGTTAATCTCGCGGGGACTGCCAAGGGAAGAAAATATCTATTAAATAGAGCCAGATCGCCACTTTTCTACGGTGTTCCAGGGAAGTGAGTAGTTTGTGAGCGAGGCATCACCCACGAGACGAATTGCCCTTTTTTTGGACAGAATCCAACAGTTTCAGAGTATGTTTGGGTGCTGCACTCCAAAAATGGGAACAGTATTCCAGGACAGGTCGGATATGTGCCTTATAGATCATAAGCAGCTGACTGAAAGTGGAATAGCTCCTGGCCCGAAACAGAAAGTCAAGTTTTTGAGATGTACTTTCAGCAATTGATCTCACGTGATTAGAATCGGTTATAGCTGATAATAATACCAAGCATCGAAATGGATATATACATGAATAGTAGTATTTCCACCTTCACCGCTCAAATAGAACATTAAAAATAGTTATTTATCATACAAGGGAAAAGAGTTGTAGATTTTAGCTCCAGGTTGTGTTGTCTCCCGACGCGTTGCGGAGGGAGACAAAAAACCGTGAGCTGAAATCTAATATTTTTTCCGTGTATAATACACTATTTTTTTCTATGACAGAAGCGAGGACGAATCAATATTGGAGAAGACATTACATTATTTTGAAATCTGAAAATTTTCGACGTGAAATTTTGAGTTTTTAACAGTAGGGACACCTGCGCTGCATCTTTATCATTCTTTTGAAGTAATCAAATATCTGATGTCACTCATTCTGTCAGTCTAATTCTGTGATTTGATTTCAAAAAGTTGCGGTTTCAGTGGTTGTATATACTTGAAGTCGAATGGAAGATGAAAGGACTTGCAGTTCTTTCTCGGAGACGGTATTATTGAGTCTTTTTTCGGAACTATAGCACAACAAAAGCCATCAACAGTGTATATATATGTGATATATATCCGGGAAAAAGTAATCACTTTTTTCCCACGGAAAAAAAGTAATTTATGAAAAGTGACATTTTATAACCTACCAACAGAGATGAAATGCCAAACTTTTTTGTCACATTATTTTCATTCTCAGGTACACCGGCACCTGGAGGAAAGGCCTCAAACATGGCAAGGGCGAGTTCCTTTATCCTGACGGCAGTCGCTACCAGGGCGAGTGGAAGAAAGACCTCAAGCACGGCCAAGGTAGCTATTTCTACGTAAATGGTGACCTATACGAGGGCTGCTGGTACAAAGGGCTGCGCCACGGCCTGGGCACGTACACCTACAAGGCTGCCAACGTGACACACTATGGGACGTGGAAGGACGGCAGGATGACGGGGCCTGGTATACTGAACTATCCTTATTACAGGTGAATGTTTCACTCTTGTCCAAACAGGGTGATCGGATATCAAATTCGAGGGATTAATACCAAGGTAGCAGGGTGACGTCTAATTGACGTCATATTTTAGCAATGAAGTAACCAACTAGACGTCCTATAATGACGTTTGGGAGACCATATAATGACGTCAAACGTCACTGTCACAAGATCATATTATCACGTCGAAATGCCGTCTCGAAATGACCTATAGAAGAAAATAATTGAAAAATCCTGGGGTATATATACGGCTTTATAGGATTATACACCAGCACAAACCTTTGATGCAATTCATTTGTAACTATTGTTGTGACTTGGTAGATGTTGAATCCTGCTCCTATCATTAGTTCGAATTTCTACATGGCCATATCATTAGCTACTCATATTAGTATCTGAAATGATGTAGTTATAGCGTCCGCGAGATGTGAGCAGGATAGTAGTAGTTTGATAGTAATGTAACAGAAGTACTCGAGCCTGATGTTGTAGAGGAACGTATATGTTAACAACAATTTTGTGCAACAGGCCATGTAGAGGTAAGAAAACGACAAATTTTCCTCATTTGGTCGAACGAAAGAATGAAGGACCTTGTAGGGACCTCATTGACATCTCCAGTATTAATCGTCAATAATAAGACTTTTTGGAATATGACGTCATTTTCGTGGGTCATACTTTGGTCAAAAGACATCGTGAACCAAACATGACGTAAACTCGACATCAATATAATGTCTTCTTATGTCAATCTGTTACCTGGGTAGTACTGAATGTTATTTTTCTTCTGGATGGAATGATTTTACCTCACGATAATTCCATATTGATTAATACGTTGAAAATATACTTTGGATCTGAGCGATCTATGTGGAAGTATGAGGAATGAATTTTCTATGAGGAAATAGTATATTATGTACCAAGTGTTATTAACGTCCTTTTAGTAACGAGTATCTAGAAGAGTTTATAAATGCGTTACATACAATGCTTTTCCTACGAACTCCAAAAATTACATTAACATACCTGCTATTCCTGCTAACCTACAAAATAATTCGAATGGAATGGGCATGCAACCAGCGAGACACGTATGAGTGATATTGGTTGTAGATGTGTCCAGTCCATTGCTTACTAACCTTTGTTTCACGTTTATTGTCATGCTTAGCGCAGAATAAATAAATTGTTCTCAAAGATTGATGCTTCATTTTTTCACTTCTTGGAGATATGCAAGTACCAGAACATTCTCTTCTATTCCACTTTCGTCTACATTTCTCATATATTTTTAATGAAGAATTCTGATACAAACGAATATTGTTTGAATAATTCTGATACAAAATCTGAAAATACCAGTTGACCGTTAATACAATTGACAGGCCAGACATGTCTCAAATTACTTTAGCTGTGTTTAATGAACTGTGTTGCCATGGTGATGTGTTTAAGAAATCGTGTTGCCTTGGTAACGTGTTTAATATTTTGAATAAATCACAGATCGTCAATCCGTGATTAATCGATCATTTAGCGTGGTACCTACATATCCGTACGCTAAATGCCATTTTAGTTATGTGAGTAGAACGATCGAAACACCCTATGGTGAAATACAGGGGAGAACAACTGTAAAATTTCTCGGAATTCACATAGACGAAAAGTTGGATTGGAAGAATCATATTCATAACCTAAATAAAAAGCTCTGCAGTGCTACTTTCGCAATATATACCATAAGAAAAAATATCGGTATAGAATCAGCAATAACAGTATATTACGCTTATTTCTACAGCTTAGTACAATATGGTATAGAGTTTTGGGGACATTCAGTAGATGTCAACAGCACATTTGTAATACAAAAAAGAGCTCTCAGGGCCATTTGTGGGATAAAACGGATCGAATCCTGTAGGAGTCATTTTGAAAGACTGAAAATACTCACAATTACAAATTTGTATCTATATCGTCTTTCCTTATTAGCTTTCAAAAAGAAACATGAACTAGAACAATTCACGGATGTCCACAACCATGATACACGCAACAAAAACAAGTACATACCACCTCAATTCAATTATACAGTGAACAGGAAAGGTCCCTTATATATGGCAACAAAAACATTCAACCACCTACCGTCCTCAATAACAGAAATAGTTTCACTAAATATTTTTAAAAATAAAGTCAAACAATTTTTTCAGACCCACGTTTATTACGATACCAATCAATTCTTCAATGCCCACTTATAAATCGCTTGATTGTTATACTTATAAACTTGTGAATTATTTTATATACATTTCTTTTTATTCCTATATCAATACAATATTAACATATACATTTTTAACTCATTCTTACAGTATCAATATGTAATTTTTTACTTATATGTAAGCTTTGATGCATTTTTCAAATATTGTGAATATGTTTCACCATTTTATTTCTTTTTATTATTATCATTACAATTTGTGTAATTGCTTTTTATAATTGTGTAAAAACAAACTAAAAATGAACTGCTCTTCTCAATAGCTCACACATGAGCTCCAGCATGCATGAAAATCTTCCATTGAAAAAAATTAATTATAGTTGTATGTAATATGTGTGTATTCGAGAAATAAATTCTATTCTATTCTATTCTATTCTCTATTCTAAACAATTACTCACTTACCTCAGAATGAGAGCAATAGTAGACAAATGATTGAATGATCAATTTTGAGTGAGAATATGCACAACCAGAGAATTTACAGTAGCATTTGTATGGAAAAGCACTTAACCAAAGGATGTTGATGTGAAGCATGAATCAACCTTGGAATCTATTCAAATGAAATAGGTACTCTGTATTATATCTCATAGTGGTGGAAAAATACGTTTATTATACCGGATGGAGCAAAAGTGCGTCAAAGCTCGATTGCTCGAGTATCTATGATAGCTAGGAAGATGATTGAATTACGAAGGTGAATGAGACGAAAAGGTCCATAACTAGAAATTATTGCGGCGTATACATAGTGTACCGAAAGAAAATCTAGAGAGTCGGGACCACTTTTTGTAAATGGAATGTCATGTATATAGGTATTTTTTAAGCATCCCTGTGGCCTCCATCCTCCCTATAATTCATTAATTCTTCCACTATTATATCGAAGTTATGATTTTTTTGTCTAAATAATGTCATCTGCAGATGATTCCAAAAAAAAATCAGTGTTATCGCAATTATGAAAATTGTTTATTCAAAAACTAGCTTCCAGTCAGAAATAAAATTCTTGTATGAGGAAGTTGATTACAAACAACAACAACAAAAAAATCTAAAAAGTCTAAATCGATCAAGTCATAAAAATAGCCACAGAGACTAATCAGTAGATGGCAAAGTATAAATTTTATCCATTTCGTAATGAAATCATTTGTTTTTTCAATTCAATTTCAAATTTTGAAATTCGTCTGCAATTTTTTATATTATGTGGTTATTTATTAAATTCAGCTAGAGCAGCGTGAGTAAATTTTTTTTGGCCAATTATAGAAGTAACAGAATCAAGATGAAATAAGTTTGATTGTTTCGTGTGATGACCATGAATTTCTGAGTTTCTTATCAAAATAAAATTGGATTTCAGATTATTGTTCAATATATTATTTGAAACTTTAAGAGAATCTATTTTATATAATTCATCCAATGAAAATTTTTCTGTTATGGCATACAGATCATTTGTTGGGATATCAAATGAGAGGCGATACAATACTTTCAGTGCTTTCTTATAAAGTGCAGATATTTTACTGAAATAATTTTTTGAACAAGATCCCCAAACGTTTATCATATAGGTAATACGACCGAGTATATGAGAGGAGATCACCATTATATCATTATTTGAATAGTATAGATGCGTGTTATTTCTGAAGAACGTTGATGCTCCTCGAGGGTGAATGGGAATGATTTTTTGAAATGATGTTTCACGAGTTTTCCGAATGGAAATATATAGTTTAGGCCATGTGATACAAAATCAGGTAACGATCATCTTTTGTCTTGTCATCTATATTGATATTCTTAACAATTTTCGAATTATGGTACTTTGTAAATTATAGGATGGCCATTTCAATCGATATTCAAATCACAAACTCTTTGAAACTATCTCTAATATTTGACAAATATAATTCAATAGTCTGTGATATTAGCCAGAGGAGTAGTTGTCTTCTGTTGAATATTTCAGCAATGATCCTTTTAATTATCACAAAATATGTGCAGGTATCATGGTAGCTTCGAGAAGAACCTACCCAAAGGCCCCGGCTGCTTCACCTTCGATGCCAAATACATGCAGCACGGCTTCTACGTCAATTTGCGAGACCCCAAATTCGACTACGTCGGAGTAGAGGACCTGGAGCTGGAGAAAACCAATATGGAAGACACCGAGAAACCCGAAGAAACAGGAAATCCCAGAGGGATAGTACCGATATGGAGGGCCAGATCCATAACCGAGTACCAAACGGAGCTGCTGCCTCAGGAACCTGTGCCGGTGCCCGTGAGAGAGTCAGAAGAGTCGATGATCGATATTATCGATTATCTGCAGAAGCAGTACGAGCTGGAAGGCCATCAGTTGGAAGAAGAGTACAGGACAACTACTTCACCTGTTCCTGAAGATCTTGTGGTCGATATCCCAGATATCGATCTTTTTGATTTCTAATAAGTATGTTAATTGTGATGAATAAATTGAGTTCATATATTTGCCCTAGTTGCTCAATCTCCAGTCCTTCAGTCACAGAATTCCTCTCAAACTTGAATTTTGCTGAATACCACAAACGAGTATATGTATATGTTTTTACCTACAACTATGGAGTCATTCGAGTATTCCGGACTTGACTTCAATTAATGTGATTGAGATTATCATTTCAAGGCATCATTTTGGCTTCAGGTCACTCAAATAAGTTCACTTCAGTGTGAGTGAGAGAAGGAATATTACCAACAAGGTGTTAGCGATCATAACACAATGAATAATAATAATAATAATAATAATAATAATGTTTATTAGCCACTTTGGTACAAAATGCACATGTTGTAAGTCATATTACAGTGAAAATTGTAAAAACATGAAAATATGAACAAATTGAAAAACATAATAACACACGGACAACATACCATTTAAAAATATTGAATCACACTGAATCATCTAAAAATTCTTGCTGACTATAATAACACTTCTCAATTAACACACATTTTGTTCCATCATAAAATATTTTATCACATCCAGAATTCTTGATCTCTGTTGGCAATTTATTGTAAAGAGATAATGCATTATATAGGGGAGAGTTTTTGAATTTCATTGTCTAATGTTTTGGTATCCTCAAGTCCCCACCATGTCGAGTGTGATAGGTGTGTGAAAATGCATTAGTTTCGAAATACTCCCAGTTGCTCCTAACGAATTCCACACATTTTAGAATATATATGGATGGGACAGTTAGCAATTTTTCTCTTACAAATACAGCTTTGCAGCTTCCTCGATAGCCAATGTCGAAAATAAGTCTTGAAATACGTTTCTGTCCCACAAAAACTCTGTTAAATTCTCTTCCACATCCCCATGCCATTATGTTAAGAGAAATATGTGAGAATTCCATCGCAAAATAAACACTTGATAGACTCTCTTTTTCAATACAACTTTTCATTTGCTTTCTTGCAGACACTGTCGATATGAAGATCCCAATTTAACGTTTCATCCAAGTATATACCCAAAAACTTAACATCTTGCGAAATAACTATTCCATCGAAATGAGTTATTTCGCCAGGGATATTATCCCTCCTATTGTAAAATTTCATAGATATCGAGTTAGAAGTGTTCGAAATGAGTCGATTTCGTTCACACCAGGATGTGAATGTATCGATGATTCTGCTGACCTTTGCTAGTTAAATATCAATTTAAGGACCAGCTACTGTAATTGTGGTGTCATCTGCAAACATGGTTATGTGACAATCTGTTACGTGTTCAGGCAAGTCGTTAGCAAATAACACAAAATGTAGTGGTCCCAGCACTTACCCTTGCGGAACACCTAATCTCACATCGTGCTCACTCGATGTGACAGAATCATGTCTTACATTTATGACTTTAGACAAATCAACAAATTATTTGGAAATCCTAGCACAGTTAATTTATAATTTAAAATTCGAAAGACACCGTGTCAAAGGCCTTTGCCAGGTCAAAAAATAGACTGATTCTGAAATTGTTCGAATCTATTTCTGAGTATACAAAATTTAGAAAGTCATATGTTGCGGTTTCTACAGAATGATTCCTCCTAACACCATGTTGGTTACTACATAATAGGTTATTGATTTCCAAATGATTCATTATCCTATTTGTCACTACCTTTTCAAACAACTTGGAGAGTGAGCAGAGCAAAGACATTTGTCTGTAATTATCTATCTCATTTTTGTCCCCTTTTTTGAAGAGGGGAATTACCAAAGACTTTTTGAACTCAGAGGGAAAGTATCCTTGCATGTAGGACTGATTTAAAAGGTAAGTAAGAGGATTTATTATCGAATGCATTATATTTTTTATGGTAATTACAGAAATTTCATCAATCCCAGTTGACTTTTTGTTTTTCATTTTCATTAGTGACTCAATTATTTCAACATCTGTAATAGGCCCATTCTGAAAGGGGTGAGCAATATCCACATACAAACTGGTGGTACAGGGCAATGTTAAATTTTGCCCAAAATGAATGTTCAACAATGATTTGGCAGCTTTTGGAAAATGATCAGCAAACAATTCAGCTACCTCATATGCATCCTCCTTGATTTGATTATTCTCAACAAACCACTATACCAAGCGAGCTGACTGTGGTCTCCAAAGAAAAACATTTCGAATGGGAAATAAGGTCGAGTTTTTCTCGAATTCTGGATTTTATGAAGTGTTGCACTCCAACGTGCCCATATAGTCGAACAGTTACTACACTCTACAAATAACAAGAGTAGCACTGTGCAAAAAATGGTAATATTCCGGGATTTTACCTATTCAGAGTCTGGAACAATAATTATGAGGCTAGTGCGTCATAATGAGCGGAAAAAAACCTGCGTTTGCATTTTTTTTGTTGATGTTCGCTTTTTTCCAAGAGAACAAGTGGCTTTCTGCGGAAATATGGGTTAAGTGTAGAATCAAAAAGTCGCATGGAAATGCTTGTGGTGGCATGAATTCGTCGAAAGCCATTTCCAAAGCCAAGTCAACAACATCTATTATTTTTTTGTTTGTCCATTCCATCTATACGAGTTCCGTATACAGGAAGTATA